TCTCTATGAGTTTAAGACCAACCTAGTCTACAGAGTTAGTTCCAGGACAGTCCAGCTACATAGTGAGACCCTGTCTCAAAAAACAAAAACAAACAAACACACAAACAAATAGCAACAATCTTACCCAAGTCTAGATGCTGGTATCTGGGTTACTTACAGAAGCATCAGTAACTCTCTCCTTCCTTTTTTTTTTTTTTTTTTTTTTTTTTTTTAGACAAGGCCTCACTATGTAGCTCTGGATGTCCTGGAATCCACTATGTAGGCTAGGCTAGCTTCCAGCTCACAGAGATCCACATGCCTCTGCCTCCCGGAAGCTGGGATTAAAGTTCTGTCCCACCACACTTGGCAAGTATGAACAATTTGAAGCACCAGGAAAGTCCACTCTGTGACAGGTGTCAACTAGCAAAGGTGACATCCCTGAGATTCACAACTCCCTGCATAGGCAACATGCAGAACAGTCTTTTCCCTGCCAGTAACTGTGTATATGACACTAGGTGACCTCGGGAAGTGGCCTGGTTAGTTTTACACCTTTTGGAGCTTCCTCAGCCTTATACACACTAAGTCTTTTAAGAACAAGTTCTCCTCTCTACACGAAATAATGTCTCAATTAGGAGAAAACAGGTAAACACCTCTTTATAGTCTCATTTTGTGGCCCCAAATGGATAATAACTTGTGCTCCCATTTCACCTTCTCCAATCCCAGCATCATAGGCATGATCTCCTGTTGTAGAATGCCATTTTAAGATGTGTTACATTTGTTTACGCTGTGGAACATTTGTTTAAAGATGCAAAGATTACTGGGTGGTATTGGCGCGTGCCTTTAATCCCAGCACTCAGGAGGCAAAGGCAGGTGAATCTCTTTGAGTTCGAGGCCAGCCCAGTCTATGGAGCTAGTTACAGGACAGCCAACGCTACACAGAGCAACCCTGTCTCAAAAACCAAAATAAACACATAAATAAAAAATAAAGATGCAAAGATGGGCTGCATTCTTTTATGTTACATTTGTTTAATTCTGTAAAGCTGCCTGATTTGTCCAGGAAAGAGCTGAACAGCCAATAGCCAGGAGAAAGGACAGGAGGGCTGGCAGGTAGAGAATAAATAGAAGGAGCAATTTGGGAGGAGAGATTGAGGATGGAGAAAAGGAGGAGAGGAGGATGCCAGGGGCCGGCCATCCAGTCAGCCAGGGAAGAGTGAAAGTAAGATATGCAGAAGTAAGAAAAGGAAAAGCCCAGAGGCAAAAGGTAGATGGGATAATTTAAGAAAATGTGGCTAGAAAGAAGCCAAGTTCAATCCCCCTCCAGACAGGTTTCTCTGTAGCTTTGGTGCCTGTCCTGGAACTAGCTCTTGTAGATCAGGCTGGTCCTGAACTCACAGAGATCTGCCTGCCTCTGCCTCCTGAGTGCTGGGATTAAAGGTGTGCGCCACCACCGCCCAACTGTAATACCACTTTTGGATATATATCCAAAGGATGCTCAATCGTGCCACAAGGACATGTGCTCAATTATGTTCATAGCAGCTTTGTTTGTCATAGCCAGAATCTGGAAACAACCTAAATGCCCTTCAACTGAAGAATAAATAAGGAAAATGTGGTCCATTTACACAATGGAGTACTACACAGCAGAAAAAATAACAACATTTTGAATTTTGAAGGCAAATGAATGGAGCTAGAAAACATTATTTTGAGTGAGGTAAACCAGACCTGGAAAGACAATTATCACATGTACTCACTCATAAGTGACTTTTAAACATAAAGCAAAGAAAACCAGCCTACAAACCACAATCCCAGAGAACTTAGACAACGAGGACCCTAAGAGAGACTTACATAGATCTAATCTACGTGGGTTTAAAAAGACAAGATCTCCTGAGTAAATTGGGAGCATGGGGACCTTGGGAGGGGAGGGGAAGGCAGGGACAGGAGCAGAGAAAAATGTAGAGCTCAATAAAAATATATTTAAAAAATGAATAATCAAAACTAAACAAATCCAGAAAAGAAAGGAAGAAAGAAAGAAAGAAAGAAAGAAAGAAAGAAAGAAAGAAAGAAAGAAAGAAAGAAAGAAGCCAAGTTAAGGCCAGGCATTTATAAGAGGGTGTTTGTGTGTGATTATTTGGAGTGTTGGGTCTGAGGTCACGCAGTGATGGGGACAGACCATCAACGTCTATAAAATCAAAAGCAAACTTAATTCCAGGAAAAAAAAATCACCACGGAGCACAAAAAGCTTATCAGCTAGCTGAGACCACAGCCAGAGTTCAGGCTTCTAAAACTGTGGCAATGGGGCACTGACCTCTTTTTTATAGTAATAAGTAAACATTAAACATGGACAAAGGAATTTCAAGATAAAACTTTAAGATTTACAGTTTTCGATAACAAGGTTTCAGGTAAGACGGTGTCTGCAGAGGCCTGCGGATCTCCTTCCCAGCTGATAGTGTCTGTAAAGAACTTTACAACCTTCCGGGCACAACTGGTTTTCCATAGCAAGGAAGGATATACGAAACAATGTAAAGCCAAAGTCACAGAGGAACAACTTAAAAGTTAACTTCGGTCCAGGCAGTTGTCGGTGTAAGGGGCAGAGGGTCATCCCCTGGCTGTTGACAGAGGTAAACTGTAAGGCAAAAGCCATTGTTAAAAGTTAATCCCTTGCTTCTGACAGTGCTGATGACTGTTAGCTCCCATTTCTTTAAGGCTTACAAATTTATAGTTTTTATTTCTATTCCTGGACCCTTTGGGAGCTGGGATGTGGGGCCCCCAAAAGAAGCAAAGAGTAAACAACAGACCACCACCCCCAGAATACCTATTTTTTTTACGATTTACTTATTATGTATACAGTATGCTGCCTGCATTTTTTCCGTGCAGGCCAGTAGAGGGAACCATATTTCATTATGATACACCTCTTATGATTATGAGCCACCATGTGGTTGCTGGGAATTGAGCTCAGGACCTCTGGAAGAGCAGCCACTGCTCTTAACCTCTGAGTCATCTCTCCAGCACCAATACCTAATTTTTTGAGAGATAGGGTTTCACTGCTTTGCCCGGGTGGGTTCTACGTCCTAGGCTCAACCTGTTCTCAATCTCAAGGGTAGTTGTGAACAGAGCGACGTGTTACTTCCACTTCCGCTGCACTTCCTTTAAAAAGGAAAGAGAAAGCCTTTAATCCCAGCACTCGGGAGGCAGAGGCAGGCAGATCTCTGTGAGTCTGAGGCCAGCCTGGTCTAGAAGAGCTAGTTCCAGAACAGGAACCAAAAAGCTACGGAGAAACCCTGTCTCGAAAAAAATCAAAAAAAAAAAAAAAAAAA